AAGAATTCAGTCCGTACCGCGAAGAAAACACAACGCCTCACCGTTACAAAGATTAACTGGTTAACGCTGTTTAAGGAAAGAATAGATTTTTATTCCGACAATTAATTAACCCTTCGAAGCCGAAGCTCTTTTACATAATATTTAAGAATTCAGTCCGTACCGCGAAGAAAACACAACGCCTCACCGTTACAAAGATCAACTGGTTAACGCTGTTTAATGAAGTAATCGATGTTTAACTGAGAACCATACATCTTGTGGCTATGATGCAGAGTTAATTAATATTAAAGCAGGTGGTACGTATAGTTACCACTGGGCTTTGAAGATTTTTTTGTGTGTTTTGTTAGCCAACTTTTCAGCCCTGTCTTTGAAAAGTAGCCCGAGGTTCAAATACTGCACGTTCCGCGTTTACATCTTGGCACATAAGTCGACTGTTCTGACATGTTTCTTAGTTTTCCTCAGTCGTCTCAGGCAGACGTCGGGGAATCACCTTAAATCCGGCCACGAATTCGGGTGTGCAATTGAGTAATTGCGGTTACATGAAGCAAGATTCGTCCACTTACCTGCTGACTTTTGAGCGGTCTGGGAGGCGGCGACTGGCTGCGCTGTGCGTCGGAGAAGCTACTGCCCTGTCCTCTGCCGACCGTCGGCGCGAAACGCTATTATTAGGCAAATGGCCACACGTGTGGGGGTTCCACGTCGGAGCAAGGAACCTGGGTTATAAATACCCGGCAACGCATGGCCTGTCAGATGTTCCAACCTATGCGATGTTACTCTCATAGAAGTACGTGGTTCCACGGAAAGGATTTTTGTCCAATTAGGATCGTCTTGTTGAACCCGGATTGCACTGCGGGACGTAGGAGAACGCGAAATTCAGTGATGGTACCATAATCGGCACTAGTCTGTCCAACGTTGCATAATACGCGTTAGTCTCGAGGCTACATCGCAGGGTTGCAGTGTTACAGGCGGTTAATTTTTGCGTGCTAAGCAATTATGGATGCGTCATAGCATTGAATAACGGATGTGAGGTGATCATCTGTAGCAACGACCCCAACTTCCTTTCTAAGCTCCGTGTGACTTCTTCCTCTTCCCAAAGATGAAAATTCAGCTAAAGGGAAGGAGATTTGAGACGATAGAAGAGATTCAGGCAGAATCGCAGATGGTGCTGGACAGGCTGACAAAGAAAGATTTCCAGGGATGCTTCCAGGCTTGGCAGCGGCGCTGGGATCGTTGTGTTCACTCCCAGGGGAACTACTTCGAGGGTGATGGATGAATTTAATACCTGAGATAAGTGCACGGGTTTTTATACGCGCAGTCTGGAAACCTTTCGATCGCACCTCGTACATTCTATTATATCAAAATATAAGACAATTTTTGGGAATTAGTCCGTGGTACCATAAATGTTGAGAAACACTGACGTATAGGACGTGTGAGGGAGGTGAATAGTTAGATTGACGCTCCGGCTAATTTACCTACAAATGAAAAATAAAACCGATATTCCATTAATCAAACCCTGTATATCCAGCCAGTACTTTATAACGCGTTTTTAACCACATATTTACTTTGGTACGAAATATACCACTTGTAATACATAGGAGTAGATAGAAGGATAATATTAAAATGAATCTTCAGGAAACAAGATAAGAGTGCAACTGTTTTAAATTTAGGAAAATATATTTGACCTTGGCAATACAGACTCACATTTGTTCCCATTATATTTTTGCTTTAAATTACGACGGAAATATCAGGAACCTAACCCCGGCGTAAACCGAGTCCTACCTGTACTCTATTATTTTTATATCCTACGTCATAATTATTAGATAATCTTTGTCTTTTTACAACTTTTCAAACATATATCAACCATACCCCGTCTTGCCCCGGGCACGGGGCAAAATGGGGCACGTTACATTCTTATAACAAATTATTATTTAAAAAACTGTAATGACTCGTTATAAATTTCAAATAGACGATAAATCCACACGAGGTTCCTCCATGTGTTTGTCCCTTCCACATGCCTCCAAAGATTAAGTTCCCCGTTCTGCTCTGGGCTCCCCTAAGTTTCCAAAATGTTCCAAGTGAAGTCTGCTAAGTCCAAGTGTCACCCTCACACTTTCATAAGAAGACAACTCATTCCTGATTGGTTAACAAACTTACAGACTCCAACTAAGAATGATATAACATTAATTTCCATTTTCGTAAGGGTCCGGGTTTGGCGTGAAGAAGCACCCCCTCTCTCATGAAAGAGAGAGACCCTCACAACATCCGCACAACCTGGTTTCGTACGCTTTCGCCTGAATGTAACTCTCATTCGGGTAATAACAGAATTCAGCTAAAAGCAGGGAGATTTAGATGCGAGATCGAAGATTAAGTAAATCCCTAAATATGTTTCCTACTCACGTACCCTAAGGGCGGTATCGCGCTAGGATGGCAACGGGAGGCCATGGCGCAGCTGCCAGCATCTCGGCCAAACTCAATGCATTAATTTAGTAGTCATACCTGGCAGCGCTTCCAACTTGGCATCGCTGCCAACCAAGATGCCAACTTCAAATGCTACTGGCATCACTGCCACGGCCAAGGCCAAGTCAACATCACATGACAGTCTGGCCAGTCCATTGACGTCCGTGCGTGAATGTGCTTGTGTGTATTTCTGTTTCTTCCAAACGTGGATAATTTCGACACAAAAAAGATTGATAATTGAAATTCAGTCCCGACCATGGGATTGAATACGCAAACCGGGACTTGAAAAACAGAAACTGGGTAGAACTTGTGGAGATATTTGGAGGAGGAGATTTATTTACAGTAGAAAAGAAAGAATTAGCTAAGAAGTGTTTCTATGGCTTTATTTGTGGGGCCGCTTTCCAATATGGCAACTTGATTTATAAGTTTTTTTGTTTAGCAATCTATATATCTATCTATATATCACAAATAATGTGAATTAAGAAGAAACCTGCTTTTATAATGTTTTATTAAATAAAGTTTGTTCATGTAATATTACATGTGATTTTCAAGAAATGAAACATTACAAATTCAATAATGGTATGGACGTGCAAAGTGTGTGTGTGGAGAATTTTTCTTACTTATTTATTTGTTACATAATTGAAATTCACTCCAGGTATGTAGTTTTGATGAAGGTAAATCTCATTTTCTCAAAAGTGATAAAAGTGGACATTTCTCCTTGCTAATAGCCCTTCATTTCGTGATCTCATAATGTCGATCCATCTGTTCGCTCGACTGGCGGCTTGTCTGGCGTCTTTTTTCTGGCAGCTGGACGCCATGGCATCGCTGTTGGTGTCGCTGCCATGGCATCCTAGTGCGATACCGCCCTAAGGGCTACTTTCAGCACTTAGGGGCGAAAGTCCACATCCGTTGTAAAATTTATTAAACATCTGCAACGAACAGAAGTGACTTAAAACTTATCTGAGGTTTCAGTTTATCGTGTAGATGCATGATATCATTTTTGGTATTTCCTAGGTTAAACTGTCTTCAACATTAATCGTTGTCACAGCCCATAATACCATAATCCTCGCTTTTGTCGTATTTATCATTGGAATTCAACTGGCACTTAAAAAGTTTCACATTAACAGTCGGTCAGCCGGATTACCGTACGTTAAACCCTGAAGGCGTGGCAAATAGAACACGTGATTTGTTTGTTATTTATTCCACAACTTATTTGTGTTTATTACTAACCTAACAATAATATAAATAACGAAGACAAATAATATCCTTCAATGGCCTTAACGTTTTGAATCATCCTGTATATACATCTACTGAGCATTGTGCTCTCGTATCGCTGTGACGTCACAGTTTCGTGACGCTGTAGTCGTCCAGAGAGAACAGAACGTTGTCTGCGTAGACTGCTCCCCCTGATTGGTCCTTGATTGTGACGTCATTGGAACTCGTCAGCGCGAGGAACTGGTCCCTGTGCAGCCCTGCGAAGTGAGGAGACAGTTGAATGACGCGGAAACAGGGTGACAAACGTGCGAGACGAACTCCAAGTTGCTGAGTCCGCCTTGAGAACCTGACAGTCGCCCAGCTAGTCAATCAATTCCCCCCTCCCCCCAGCACTGCAAAGATTCGAAAGGAATTCTGTGGCTGAGATAAAGGACGTTGTTGAGGGAAATATGCTTGGAAAACGTCCACTTGAAAGACATAGAACGAGATGGGAGAATAACATGAAGGTGGGTTTTAGGGGGAGCGGATTATGTGGGCCGAACCGCTGTGCTAGTTTGTGCCTGACAGGTGAGACCCACCGTTCATGGCCTCCAGGGCAACGAGGCTGCCCGAAGTCTTGAGGTAGAAGAAGCGGTTGTCGGCGATGGTTAGGCGCTCCGGGTCTTCCACGGGGACCACCTCGTTCGTGAGGAGTGGCAGCTCCCTCAGGGACTACGCAAGACACAGACAAAGCAGAGGTCTCACTGAGAGAGAAGCTGATAGTCGCTCAGATGGTCAATGAACACAACTGACACTGGACCCTGTCCTCGGCCAATTAAATTACGTACATCCACGAAGTTAATTCGAGGCAAAGGGATTTGGGTCCTGAACGAGATATGTCGTTCGTAGCAGTGAGAGGGTCGTGTTTCCTTACCGATATCTTAAGTGTCTTGTCGTCGTCCATGCTCAGACAGACGTTCGTACTGTGATGAACGGGCAGAACCATCTTCGTCTCGTCGGCTTCCGCGTCCGTGTAATAAAAGAGCGAGAAGACAACTGAAACACAATGCGTCGTGTGCATTCATCACGCCCGAGATAATATTAAAGTGGATTTTTCAAAAGACAGGGCGTGAGATTGGATTCATATGTCTCATGATAATATTAAAGTGGATTTTTCAAAAGAAAGGGCGTGAGATTGGATTCGTATGTCTTATGATAATATTAAAGTGGATTTTTCAAAAGACAGGGCGTGAGATTGGATTCATATGTCTCATGATAATATTAAAGTGGATTTTTCAAAAGACGGGGCGTGAGATTGGATTCATATGTCTCATGATAATATTAAAGTGGATTTTTCAAAAGACAGGGCGTGAGATTGGATTGATATGTCTCATGATAATATTAAAGTGGGTTTTTCAAAAGACAGGGCGTGAGATTGGATTCATATGTCTTATGATAATATTAAAGTGGATTTTTCAAAAGACAGGGCGTGAGATTGGATTCATATGTCTCATGATAATATTAAAGTGGATTTTTCAAAAGACAGGGCGTGAGATTGGATTCATATGTCTTATGATAATATTAAAGTGGATTTTTCAAAAGACAGGGCGTGAGATTGGATTCATATGTCTCATGATAATATTAAAGTGGATTTTTCAAAAGACAGGGCGTGAGATTGGATTCATATGTCTCATGATAATATTAAAGTGGATTTTTCAAAAGACAGGGCGTGAGATTGGATTCATATGTCTCATGATAATATTAAAGTGGATTTTTCAAAAGACAGGGCGTGAGATTGGATTCATATGTCTCATGATAATATTAAAGTGGATTTTTCAAAAGACAGGGCGTGAGATTGGATTCATATGTCTCATGATAATATTAAAGTGGATTTTTCAAAAGACAGGGCGTGAGATTGGATTCATATGTCTCATGATAATATTAAAGTGGATTTTTCAAAAGACAGGGCGTGAGATTGGATTCATATGTCTCATGATAATATTAAAGTGGATTTTTCAAAATACACGGCGTGAGATTAGATTCATATGTCTCATGATAATATTAAAGTGGATTTTTCAAAAGACAGGGCGTGAGATTGGATTCATATGTCTTATGATAATATTAAAGTGGATTTTTCAAAAGACAGGGCGTGAGATTGGATTCATATGTCTCATGATAATATTAAAGTGGATTTTTCAAAAGACAGGGCGTGAGATTGGATTCATATGTCTTATGATAATATTAAAGTGGATTTTTCAAAAGACAGGGCGTGAGATTGGATTCATATGTCTCATGATAATATTAAAGTGGATTTTTCAAAAGACAGGGCGTGAGATTGGATTCATATGTCTCATGATAATATTAAAGTGGATTTTTCAAAAGACAGGGCGTGAGATTGGATTCATGTCTCATGATAATATTAAAGTGGATTTTTCAAAAGACAGGGCGTGAGGGTGTGGACTGGATTAATCTGGCTGAGGTTGACATTAGAGTGGATCTTGAAAAGGAAAGCGTAGATTGGATTCGTGTGGCTCAGGAAGAATTTCAGAGGGTTGTTGTATGAGCGCGAACTTACGTTCTGGGTCGGAAAGACTGTCGGCTTGCAGAGTTTTGGTGGTCAGTCGGTGGCCCTCGTCACCCTGGGTCACGCACAGGTACACGTTCTGCCCCGCGTTCTTCAGCCGCGCCTCGTGGCGATCAGTGAACACCAACTCCGGGAAAGACTTCTGCTCCATGCCGTGCGGAATAGATCACTGGCCTACTGGCCGGCGGGTGGCGTCGCTTATAAACCTCGGGGCTTGTGTTTCCCCGGATCGTTTTTGGAATTGTGGCGAAATACGACGCACTTCCTGTTCGTTTAATCTGGACGGCGGGAAGTTGGGATTTTTCCCTTCGGCTTTCAGACTGGCTCTGGGGTCAATCCAGTCGGTGCACTGGCAGCGTCAAGCTGACTGCTCAGCTCAGTCCTGTACCACCATTATTCGTCCTTTGAAGCCCAGTGGTAACTAAAAGTACCACCTGCTTCAACAATCAATAAATCTGCATTTTGTGTTCATGGATTTCGTATGATTTTCAGTTAAACAGCGATTATTTCCTTAAACAGCGTTAACCAGTTGATCTTTGTAATGGTGAGGCGTTGTGTTTTCTTCGCGGTACGGACTGGATTCTTAAATGCTATTTAGACGAGCTTCGGCTTCGAAGGGTTAATTAATTATCAGAATAAACAGCGATTATTTCCTTAAACAGCGTTAACCAGTTGATCTTTGTAATGGTGAGGCGTTGTGTTTTCTTCGCGGTACGGACTGGATTCTTAAATGCTATTTAGACGAGCTTCGGCTTCGAAGGGTTAATTAATTATCAGAATAAAAATCTATTATTTCCTTAAACAGCGTTAACCACTTGATCTATGTAATGGTGAGGCGTTGTGTTTTCTTCGCGGTACGGACTGAATTATTAAATGCTATTTAGACGAGCTTCGGCTTCGAAGGGTTAATTAATTATCAGAATAAAAATCTATTATTTCCTTAAACAGCGTTAACCACTTGATCTTCGTAATGGTGAGGCGTTGTGTTTTCTTCGCGGTACGGACTGGATTCTTAAATGCTATTTAGACGAGTTTCGGCTTCGAAGGGTTAAACCAATTTTCACGAATTGCTGAGCGGAATGTTTTTTAAGCAAATGGCGAAAATTACGAAATTATGAACTTTAAAAATTGCATTCATTCATCTAGTATTAATAGGCAAATTGATTTACAAATGATGGAGTTGACGGACATGTAGCGTGCATGTAAGAACAATAAATTAATGCGACATTTTATGTTCGTAATCGCTGTAAAGTGGAATTCTTATTCAGTGAAACTGTGGTGGAATTACGCGCGTCATAAGACTCGGTTGTCAGAAGTTGCACTTGTTTGCGCAGGCTGAGGTAATTCGTCTCTTTACATCACAGGGAAACGGAAGTCTAAGCGACATTACTGCGTCACTAACGCTGTGTGATCTGTTCCGTGAACGTCGTGCGTGCTTTGCCACAGAAGTAGTGATAACGAATAAGTTCTCTTTTGCGAATACAAAATTCTTCTCATACCCGTGGTTTTAAATACATTAAGATGGCTGTCTTGTGGGTTTAAACGCCGTGAGAATCTCGAATCCTACAAAAATATATGACTTCGAAGATTCCAACATGGCCGGCACACCAAGTTCAGATCGGAGCAGCTTTACAGTAAACCACTGAAACCATAATTATGCCATTGGAAGTTACCCCAGACTTTAACAAAAAATTTGGTATACAATTAGCAACATCAACATTGCAAATGCACGAATTTCTGAGGTGGAACCATCCAAAAATAAAAAATACTACTACTCCGGCAATTAGTTATAATAATCGTTAATATATTTAAAACTGCAAGCAGTGAAACAATTTGAGTGCTTTCAGGGTTTCGATATGACCCCACCATGCTGATCACTGAGCTAACCTGATAATCATTGAGTTATTTATTTTATTTGTAGTGTTCTGTCTGACGACAGGTCCATATGAACAGGATCCTTCCATCCTTTTCTCGGACTGGGACCTGTTCATATACGTTCTTGGCAGATGATCCAGAAGGGGTTTGCCATTGCCTTCTTCTGTGTGTGAATAGAGTAATTGTTGGGATGCCACGGAGAAAACTCAGTGTTGCCTAGACCACGGCCTTATAAGATGTTTTGTTTCGTTAATACTTTTATCGATAAGTAACTGCAACCTACTTCTACCTCTGATCATTTGATGTTAACGTCAGCTTTCAGATACTCAGATAATGGTCGAGGGGAATTAGAAAATAAAAACATTAAATATTTTATAACTAATATATTTGCTTACAAAGTAAATGCATTGAAAAAAAAATGTTATGACTTCATAAATGCCATTTCAGATCACTTACAACCTATTATTAACATTTAAAAGCTAGTTAATAAACAAATCTTGGCTATTAGTTGCATTTAGTAACATAAATACGTCAAGGAGCCACCAGCCTCACGCTGCGAAAATTCTGGTGCATTTCCGTTGGCTTAAACTTTTCAGAAAATAGTTTCATACGAAATGTAACAAACTGTAATTGCACAAGAAATTTGTTGTTTGTAAAAAGGCAGGATATTTCAGTGTGATGCACACTCAAATAGGCACAGTGCGTTCATGATTACGGACAAAGCGATTTCTAAACTTCTAAATAATCTTCACAATTTACAAATTCAAAAATAAATACGATTCTCCCGGAAATGTGTGTTCAGGGTTATAATACACAGACAACTGAAAGTACCAAACCCCAGCGTGTCCTGAAAATTTCCACGGTTTCCTCCGGGTTTCTCCAATATTCAAAATTCCGGTACTAACAATATTCATTCGCGAAGTTATTTAATTATGGCCAGAAAATGCATATAAACAGTTTTTTTCATTCTTTGTTAAAGATAAGGCACTACTCTGCAATTGTAACAGAATATTCCGAAAAAAAAAGTTGCTAATACGAGATTCGAGAGCGATGTTTTTGTCCGAGTACCTGTTTCTAAAATATTTGTCTTGTAATTCTACCAATCGTTGTGCTGTATTCACATTGATGGATCACAAAACAAAAATACAGGAACTTCAAGTTATACCAATTTTAGACAAAATCCAAAAATTCCAAAACCAATTTTCATACAGCGTGTCTCAAGAACGTACGACTAAAGACGTTCTAACAAATGCTGTAATGCCAACCTAGAGGGAAGACTTGGAGGACCTTTATTCAACTAGAGGCTGAGACATGTAAGATGATGATGAAGAAACTTTGTGTTCTTGCTGAAGTATTTGATAATGGGCTTCAAAGTAATCAGCAGCATTTTGATGAAGTTAGTTTCCTGAAATCAACTCAGTTCACTGTCTCGCGTTCTCTTTTCATTTCGAGGGCTACGTGACCTTTCTCGATAAACCGACAGTGAAGTTGATATCACGGCTTCCAAAATAAAACTGATTCATATTCCAATAACAAATAATACAATTAAAAACCATTAATATTGGTACTAATGGTTTTAGCTTGTTATGATTGCAGGTTTAATTTCCAATTTCCGTCAATTAGCCATCGTATTCGCCAGAGTTCAGTTGATAAAATCTTGTAAAACATGCTCTCATAGAGTTTCAAGACAAACAACTGCGAATTCGGCCAAACTTTGGCTTTCAGAGACGAGCTGTTGAATGCTTCGACAAGCACTGCACATGCCATCTTCAGGGTGAATGTGTAATGGTAACTGTAAACGGTGGTTTCGGCTTTACGTGTCAGTGGATTAGCTCACGGGAATGCGAAGTGTTTTCATGAAAGTTGTCTTCGGCTCCTGTTACACTAGCATGATCAAAGGTTTTCTTCAGTTGCATCCAAACATCCACAACTCGGAGCATTCCATCATGCCTCGTGATTCGTAAAATAATTTTCAAGTTGTCCACGTCGGAGGACAAGATTATTATCCAGTCCTTTTCTCCGGATGTCTGCGAGTGGATTTCAATTAAAATTAATTACTATAAATATGTGTTTCGTCATATAATTAACACAACTTAAATTGATGAAAGGCTCTCGGCTTACGAGTCGCGTCTGATGGCTGAATAAACCATATCTTCCGCCAACGTTTCGAGAGCAATCTCTGCTCTCATCCTCAGGGCTTCCGATCCTTTGTAGCGTGCCGAGTTTCCATCTTTCAATATTATTTTTACTTTTTAAGGTTTACATGCGTCATGTTTGTGTTTTTGATTAAAATATATAATAAAATTCAGGTCAATACACAAAACTTTATTTGGATGTTAAAATTTAAAATTTAAATGTTAAAATTTTAAATTTGCGCCATTCATCACTATAAGGATGTTACAATAACGGGAGGATCAGCGGAACACATGTTACAATAATGAATATATTGAATGGCATGCATTATAATATAAAATAGTTTTAAAAAACAACACCTGAAGATGATGTATTACATCGAAACATGTTGTGAAATGAATGAAAGCGCTCTAATGTAACATCCTTATAGTGATGAATGGCGCAAATTTAAAATTTTAAATTTTAACATCCAAATAAAGTTTTGTGTATTGACCTGAATTTTATTATATATTTTAATTATTTTTACTGTATTCAGCCTGCGATGCAAATTTTAATGGAACATACCGCACTTTATAAAGTCGTAGCTCGGCTCCAGGGTGGGCGAAAGACTCTTGGCCAATTACGAAGAACATAAAACCAGGAAACACCAATCACCTTCAAGCATAGTTCGGCGATAGTTCGAATTTTTATGATTTCTTATCAAACCCCGAAACTGTGATGTCATTTCTGGTACAGATTGCACCAGATCTTGGTGCAGGTCGAGTTAGTTCCTCGAACCGAAAACCTCGAAGCCTACGCGCGCTAATTCGTGTTTCTTCGCCGTTTTTCTCCAGTAGGTCTTAGTCTTGCCGAAATGTTTGAGTGAATTAATTTTCTGTGCCAATAAGAACATGACAGTCGCCATTTATAGTCAACAACATTCGACTCGTGTTTCATCATTTCTACTGAGCGTTGTTTAGTCATTTAAGGCTTTGACCGGGATGTTCTTTTGTTAAATCTTATGTGGTACCGCCTGA